GATACTTGGTGCTATCTGGGTAGTGGGCCATAAAGGACTTGGTGGAAGGACCCAGCCCTCCCATATCTTACACAAGACAAATATTTGCTATTTACAGAGCCTTTTCCCTCTTTCTGTCACAACCCTCCTTGTAAAACCCACTTCTTTTCCTGCCCTCCTCTGTACCTTCTCCCTATCTGTCCCTCCCTCCACCAGGCATTCACACACAACAGGATATAGGAATTGTTTTCCTTGTTAAATGAAACCACTATACAGATTTCTGTTATTTTGCAGAACATCTGGTTTGCAAATGAAAATATCTCAGGGGCACAGCAGCACCAGTGAACAATTCTGAAGACGCTTTTAACAAAACTTGAAATTGCTTAACAAAAAAAAAAATCAACTCCCCTTCCTGCTCTTCTGTGGCACACAATGTCTCCACTCAAGGGGAGATGACATTAAAAAGGAAGAGAGCTTTTTTATGGCTCTCCTATTTGGGCCACGAGCTTTCGTTTTGTTCCTGTCCACTTCTCTCATCCCTAAGAAATGAGAGTTTAATTAAAGCATGACATAGATGGAAAGAAAATTAACCAAGAAACCAGTAGGAAATAAATTTAAAAGTTTAATTTTCCAGAGTTTATTTTTGCTTTCAATAGATTTCAAATAAGTTGGAATAAAAACAAAAAGAAAGAAAAAAAACTATAGTTAATATATATTGGCCAGCACAGCACAACTATGAAAATAAAATTGTCAGGGGAATTCCTTGCTTGCCCTAGTGTCTAGATTTAAAGCACTTCTATAACACAAACTGATGAGGAATTCAATTAAGAAAACCCATTTGCTCCTTATTGACTTTAGTTAAGAAAATACACCAGGCAAAAGTGTATTAAAATATGTCTGGACTGCTTAGTATACTTTCATTTAAGCTTATGACAATCAAAATGGGAGAATTTAAATTCTCCACAATTAAGCTCTGCTTTCAAGTAGATTGGGTTCTCTGGATTATTACACTGTGCATTTTTTTAATGTACACCCTACTCACACACACCCCAAAATGCAGTCTTGCAATGAACCTGTGCATGGTAAAGCAAGAGCACCACAGATAAATTGGGGAAGAAAAAGTATTTAAGGTTGTGAATTTAATTTTGTTCTAGGATTTTCATTTTCATTTATGGCACCCATTGTGTTTGAGACCATGGACCAATTTATGGATTAGTTTTAAACCCCCAGTCTGTCACACTCAATGAACAATTCTAAGTTGGAGAGAATCCATATGAAAGGATTAGAATGTGCCACAGTGGAGCTTACACATGACTGTTTCAACTAAATATTGCCCAGCTGCCTTTCAGTAATTTTTTTTTTTTTTTTTTTGGCTACCTGGTTACTGGTGGAACAGGAGTGGTAACAAAGGATGCCATCGGCTTTCGATGAACTTGCTGAAACATCATGAGGATTTCTGAGCTCTTAGATATCAACTCACTCTCACTACAAGACCGCAGCTGTGTGAGGAAAAAAATTATCTGAACAAACAAAATTACTATTCCCTGGCACCTTGAAATTTTTTTTTTTTTTTTTTTGGCTACCTGGTTAAATAGCTAGAGTCTCTAATTTCACATGTTGTCAGAGCTTTTTCATTTGTAAATGTCTTATACTGCAACATAAAATATATGTGATGTTTCATTTATTCTAGATAGGATCTCATAAACTGTAGGTCTGGGAGACTGAGAAGTCAATATGTAGTGAAATATGCATCTTTCAAGTAACAGTGCAGGGCCCTTCCTTGGATACCTTATTTGATTATACTCGTAAAACAGCTAGAGAGTAACTATTATAACCATACATACTTACTGGGTTTGCAAGAACATGAGATTGTTTTTTGTTGGTCATATAAAATAAATGTACAATAAATTTGCCCTCATCGTAATTAAAATTAAAATAGAGACAATAGCTCAGCTAGGCCTTTTTAATTTCATAAGCCAGCACCACCGTAAGTCCAAGTCAACTTTTTGTGACCTATTTTTCTCACAGGACTAGCTTATAGATTATTTTTTTTAAGGCAGCAACAAAATGAAGTTTTAAAAAGCCTTTATTAAGGCAATTAGGCACTCTCATTTTTCAAGCTAATTACAGTCTTTAAAACTTATATTGGAAATTTACTATTTGCCATTTGCCTGTACACTTAGAATGTTATCAAACAATATGATGACCCACAAGTTGATTCACAGGATGGGCCCACACATTTTTCCAGTCATCTGATTAAGATGCCTTAATAAATCCTACTTCACAGAGCTGCACTCACTACAGAGCCAGGGTGTCTGTGGTTTCTGCATGAAGTCATAATGCAATTATGAAGGAGAATTAGATTCTGTCATAGTGCTCTCCTGCAGGGAAGCACAAAGTCATTTCTACAGAATTCTTTCCTAATTCTTTACTTGAAATAGCCTCTGTCTAGGTTGCATACCTGATGCTCTGAGAGAAATGGAGTCAGTAACTCTCCACATACACCCTCAATCTTATTCTAAATTTTGTAGCCAACCTGCATTTCTGCTGCAGTCTCCTCTATTGCTGATCATGGTTTTGCCATTTCCAGCTGCAAGAACTATGGTATTTGACTTGAACATATGTTTGCTTTTAACTGTTTTAGAATGTGTTTTTCCTTCTCAGCATCCCTTTTCCTCCCCTTTTGGGTACAATTGATGGATTTCCCATCCCCAGAATGGGGAAGCAAGATGCACTGTGAACTTTCCTTCATTTGTTTTCTGGTGCCCACATAGGAACTGACGCCTAGCTTCACTTGATTTAATTTCATCTTAAGGCTGACATAATGTTGTGATGTAAGAAGAGAGCAAATTGAGGTCATTGGTTAATACTCAGATATTATTTTTAAGGACTCTAATCCTTAGGTTTTGCTCCACCCCCTTTCTTTCATTTTATACTAATTATTTACCTGGTGGGAAAAAAAGCATATTAGAAGTGCTACTACAAAAATAATGAGCCAAAGCGTTTGTTGCTTTTCTTTTGGAAAGGAGCCAATGTCTGTTTACAAAATGTAATACATGCATGTAAGTGTTTCCGTACAAATGTGCATTTGATTTTGCCCCTCAAATTTAAAGTATTGCAACTAATGCTGGGCTTGGATGTTTCAACTAAGGAGATGTGTCATCTGTGTCAGGAGAATCTGGTGTAGAGTGTGTTTCAACTGTACAATTTCCTATATTGTTTTTTACTGCTATTTTATGCACACAGACTTGACTTGTAAGTAAGTATTGTGTTCTTATGCAGTGTATTTTATGTTTTTCTTTCCTTCATTTATTCTTTAGAAACTCAGCCATCAGTTATATTAAGCTGCATTGGCCTCTCAGACTTCTGGTTAATTCTGGCTCTTTAGAAGGGCTCTAAGTTTTGATGGTATAGGGTCCTGAGGAAAGAATGCCAACTGAAGGGGAACGCCGGTGTGAATTCATGTGTCATACTTATAAATCAGAAGCACCAGGCTCATTTGACCCCCCAAAAATGTTAAGTTTGATGTTCCAGTGCATTTAAACATTGCCTGTGTCAAGTCCAAAAGAGGCTTGTAGAGTCTCCAGAACTCATGAAAACAGTTACCAGCTAAATAGCTGCATTAAAAGGAAGGTCAGGGAACTACTTGCACTTTTAATGCAGAATCCTACTTCAGCCACCAGCTTTTGAGTGGAGATGACTAGCTTGTGTCTCAGTGTCACAGTTCTCTTCTGGCCGGAAGAGGATGGAAGGAACATGCTGGAGAGGTGCAGGACTGAAAACGAAAGCATGGCCAGATGGGCTGATGTTGGAAGGAAGCTGGCTAGAAGACTGGTGTTAAAATGACTCTGGAAAAAGAATGGCGTCTTGCGTTTTGTTAGATGTTTTATTTATCCCACTTCCCCTCTAGCCAAAAATAAAGAGAAAATTCCTTGAGCCCCTCGGAGGAATTTCCTGTGAAGAGGAGCAGGTACAGCAGGCCTGGTTTAGAAGCCCGGGAGAAGGAGGAAACTTGAACAGCATCAGAAATAGAAGAAAAAGGAGATAAACCACATTTTCTTCCACATCAAGTTCATCTAGCAATGAAAAAAATAACCACGCTATCTCCTAATCCAACCACGAAGGCAGGACTGCTGGCAGCTCACGACAGTGAACGTGATTCTGAATTGCAAGCAAAGGGATGGCTGGAAAGTTAAATTTTTGGAATGCCGTATGATTAGAAGTGTCATGTGGCAGACTGTGTAGACTTGGGTGTTTTCCTGAAAGGCTTCTGCTTTTAGAGTATAACATTAAGAGCAAGAGTGAAGAATGTGTGTGTGTGTGTGTGTGTGTGTGTGTGTGTGTGTGTGTGTGTGTGTGTACAGAAACTAATCTGTGAAAACCTTGAACATGTTCATTGTCATGGCCTCCCAGTTAATTGAACTTTCCAGCTAAACTCTGCTGAAATAAAACACTGGATGGGAAACTGGAAACTGTGTATTCATCTACAGGCACCTAAGCATAAGCAGGAAAAGAATCCTAACAGTGCGATTGATTCAGTGATGCCTAAGTGGCAGTCCGGAGGCCCCAGCGCTCGGATGGGTTGGGTTAAAACAAAGGCAATGTTTGAATGTATGAATCCATTGTTTAACCAGCCTTCTGACTGAGCTTTTCTGTCACAGTCCCGAGCCTTGATGCGTTCAGAGTCATCTACCAGCCACTGAGTTTGCACTGGTGTTTCTCATCACTTTGCATGTTTCCCTGACTATTGACTAGCAAATACATGTGTCCTGGCAAGACCCCCAGAACCAGAAAATTTACTGTTTTCCTCACTGGCTCGCAGCTTTGAGCTCAAGGCATGTCTTAAAACAGTGCAACTCACTTCAAATGCTTTTTGCTTTTCATTTATTATTGCTTGTCACGCGATGTTCTTTGAAAGCTTGCTCATATATTATCTGTTCCATTTTTTTCCATTTTCCCTTTTTTTGCATGCCGTTCCTCCTGTCTCTTCCCTTCCTCCAATCCTCTGTTCCCGTCTGTAGACACAACGGCGACGACAGAACCAGCAGTTCACGGTTGGTATCACATTACTGTTTATCTACTTTCTCAGCGCTGCTGAGAGGCAAGGCAAGCCTGGGAAAAAGAGAAATGTAGTCTTCAAGGGAAATCATGTTTCAAGTAGACTGATCTCATAAATATACTATAATATCTTAAGGCTGAAAGGATGTTGAGTCTTGTCATTTCTGTTGTGAGTTTCAGTAGCCGATGGTTGCAGTCTGAGATGAGGCCGAATGTAGTCTTCAAGGGAAATCATGTTTCAAGTAGACTGATCTCATAAATATACTATAATATATTAAGGCTGAAAGGATGTTGAGTCTTGTCATTTCTGTTGTGAGTTTCAGTAGCCGATGGTTGCAGTCTGAGATGAGGCCGCCTTACCACTGGCTGGCAGGAATGGCAGGAGTTTCATTGCACAGAGTCCTCCTTACTTATAAAACTCCATCAAACCTTGAAATACGTGGGGCTTCAAAAAACTAATATTTGCCTAAAAAGTGTAGCATCTGAATTAAAGGCTCGTTTGATTTCTTTGTTTATGGGCCGTAGTTCCCAGTAAATTTTGAAGAATCTTTTGTGTCACTTAGTAGTAGGTCAGGGAGGAATATTCCTGTTTAAATTCATGAGACAGAGATGAGAAAGGTCACTGGTCTTTAAAAAGGTTAGGACTTTAATGACGTTCCTAATCGTATTTACCCACACCACCCCTTGCCAGTTCACTCTTCATCTCTGAGTTCATACAAGTTTGTGCTCACATTGAGAAACATCTCTAAACTGAGAATGATACCGTATGTCAATTATAACAGCATTAACTGGGACTTTTAAAAAGTCATTGGTGTGTGGCTGTCTTATAGTCAAAATAGTGAAAAGCTGCTTAAGTTTTTAACCAAAAGGTGATTAAAAATTGAGCGAAGCTCAGAAGGGGTTATCAAGAAATATGATCTCCTTTTCCCCACCTCACCAATGACTTACTGGGTTTGGATAGATCTATTAACTTTTTTATGTCTCTCCAATCAGAAAATGAGAATCCTGTTTCATCTGTATATTACTTTATTACTTAGTTCAAATCTAGCCCTGCCAAGATTGTGCTTAGAGAAAGATGTGTTAGTTTAAAAATGGGCTGAATTTTAATAATTGAATCCAAGGGAACTATTTGGTAAAGGGCCTACTTCAATCACTTCACACGTTGTGGAGGGTGGAAATCTGTCACTTAAATGACAAGAAGTGATCAGCCAACCCTGTAGTGCTAATTCAACTTTTAGAGAAACATCTCCTAGCACAGACTGACTTCCTTAAAGAGACCTACAGTTGGAAGAAATCTCGAAGTAAAACCTGCCCTGTGTCAGCCATCCTTGAGGGCCAGGCCCTGATGTTTGGCAGATCACCCCATATCTGAACTTCTCAATGAGGAATTCTGAGAAAGCAAAACAAACTTAGATACAGAGGAATATATCCCTCCCCACCCCACTCTCACTTCACTCTGCCCTTTTCTGTCATTGGAAAAGTTCATAAAACAAGTTAAAGGGACCAGGTTCACTGACAATCATGAGAAATCAATTAGGTATAAAGCTTCCACTTTCTAAGGCAATGCCGCATAGTGCTTGCTACGTCTCAGGCACTGCACTCCATTAAGCTTAGTTATTTGTAGGTTTCATCATTAATTGAGCACCACCTGACTTTTATTGATTATTCTCAGAGCTTTCAGGTTATTTTAATGTAGTTCAAGAGATTTTGTTCTATTCTTTTTAAGATACTTTAAGTTCTGAGCTTCCTACAGGGTCAAATCTCACCATAAGATTCCTGAATTCTGTGAGATCTTTGAAGAAATATTGATCATTTATTTCCTAAATCTCCAGAGTTCTATTTTCTAAGTCCCTTTAATAAAATTTATGCACTTAGGTGGTGCTAGGGAATGTAGGTCTTGGAGTTGGATAGGGTATTCAAAGTAGGAAATTTAACCCCTGATCTGAAAAATGAGAAGTTAATTTAGGGGCCAGTCCTGATTTTACGGTACTGTTTTTAACCAGGTCTTTCTCTTTGGAGAGAGAGAAAGGGAAGATAATCTCTTTTTGTGGTATAATAAAGAGACACTTAGAATAGGACTTTATAGCATTCCAGTGGCAGAAAATGGAGATGTTCATGTATTGTGAGAAGCAACCACAGTCTTAGTTTGGGGACAGTGTTCAAGCCAGTGATACCTCAGTAAGATATTATCGACTGGCAGTGCATGGGAAACATACCTAGAGCCAAGAAATTTGGGGGAAAATATAAGAAGTAGGAATAGCCTTATTGTTTTAGATATATAGAGAGAGATATAGATAGATAAATAATTTTCATACTTTAAACTGGACTCCTTAACAGCAGAGGAGTAGAGAAGTGATAGTCACAGCTGATCCCTATATAATGCATTCATAAATACATTCTTCAACTTGTCCAAAATCTTCATAGCATCATTACAAAGGGCTCCAACCACTATTTTGAACAGCACATGCTCTTGCCTACAGCCGAAATCTTTAATGAAAGCCAAAGTAATATTTAAAATGTTACTTGATGGGGGAAATATCTTCCATGTCATTGGTCAGGATAGAAAGGATAATAGAACCTTGTGGAAATTACAAAGAAGGGCACCAGATTTCCAAAGAGATAAAGATATAAAACTAATTTTATTCTAGTGAATTGTGGCTCAAACCCCAACTTTTTCAGTACAGCAACCATTTGACTTCTGTTCATTTGAAAATAATCTTGAGATGTTCATTATGACAATCTGGGCCTAGAAATACGTTAAGTAGTTTTCTAACTTAGCAACTTAAATGACAAGACATATTAGGTCAACCAGCTGTGACCATGTTACTGGTCTTAAAAGTTTTCATACTATATTTCCTTCCATATTTCTCTTTTCTTTCATAAAAAGGAAAAGAAAAATAATTTTTTAAAGCTTTCCCTTTGAAGACTCATTAAAATATTTTATTCAAGCTTGTGTTGCTAGAGTATGTATGAAGTTTATACCAGTTGCTTATGTATGTTGATTGTTTGTTCTTACCAATATCTGATTGGAATAAGCATGTATTGGAAGGTTAGAAGTGCATGGGCATGATTCAAAATCAAATGGATTTTCTCCAAAAAGAAAAGCAGACAGCAATTAGCCACAATGTGTTTTTAAGGCTCTAATTGATGGTAAAGGATAAATGTAAGTGTAAGAACGGGATGTTTAGACTAGGCTCACATAAGGGATCTTCTTTGAATAAGTAAGGATCTTGAGCATTTGTGTTTTTTGGAGCTCATCCTTAAGGCCTGGACAGGAAGAATCCTGTGTTATGTGTGCATGTTGAGCAATGCAAAAAAAAAAAAAAACCAAAAAACAAACAAACAAACAAACAAACACTCTGCCAAATCCTGATATGATACCACATGCTCTGAAATTGATGGCAGAAATGCATGAGTGACTTAACGCACGGATGGTGTAGTCATTATGATTATTGATGTGTGAGTGCGTGTGATGGTTTTTGTTTGTTCAGACGTGGGCGCTTCTCCGTGTCTTGTGCCTTGTTCTTTTTCTGCCCTGTGTGTCCCCTCTCCCTCTCCCCACCCTCCTCCCCCACGTGAGGGGTCGGGTGACAGCATGCCCATGGTCTGGAATAGTGCTTGTGCTTTTGCTGCACTGCAGTCAGCTGGCTTCCTCTGGGTTTGAGGGTCTCTCTCTTTCCGTCTGTCTCTCTCTTCTCTCTCTCTCCCTCTCTCTGTCTCTGTCTCTCTCTCTCTTTTGAGGGTCTCTCTCTTTCCGTCTGTCTCTCTCTTCTCTCTCTCTCCCTCTCTCTGTCTCTCTCTCTCTCCCCCCCCCTTTCTCCCTTCTATTATTTTCAAGTCTACCTGTCCTCTTGCTTTTTCCACCTCTTGATTCAGTAAAGGCTAATGATCTCATAAATTTTCATATCCCAAATGAGTTTTTAAATAGTTCTTAATTCACTATGTAATCATGGTAAGACTCAAACTGGAACCCCTCTGAAGAATAATTTTTCATTTTCAGTTTTTGATTTCAAAATGTTTGGCCTGTGCTAGATCCATGCTCATACCCTAGACCGCTGCTCTTAGGTAACTGCCGCCTGAATCTCCCTTTCCCTGACTATTTTATAAGTAGTGCAAGCCACAATGGAATTCTGAAAGCACATGAAATTTTCTTATCTTCATATTCAATTGTGGGGAAATTCTTAAGCCCATTTTAAAGAAAAATAGCCAGCAGTGCGCATTATTACAACCGCTATGTCCTCCCTCTGTGTATGTACCTCTCTGTACATCTCTCTGTGTGAGTACATAACAATGGCATTCAGAGGCTGTCATTCAGTCAAGGGACTCTGCAGACATTGTATGTTCTACACAAGAACAAAGCTAAAGAGGTTTACGAATGGCTGCAGGACCTGAAGATTGTGTTTCAGCCTTGATATGCAGTTTGGAAACAATGTGCTACTGTTTAACGGCGTGAACCAAATTTCTGCTAATGGGAAGAAGGGAAAAACTCTCCACAAAAGCTGACAAAGCAGGAAGAACAGGATGACTGAGCTTTTAGATTAAAACTACCGGGGGCGTCTGAACTCTTATGTCTGGTGATGGAAGTAACAGTTTCCATAATATGGCCAAGTGATCAGATGTATGCGGCTTAGGTAAGAGAGAGACCATCGCCTACTTTGTTTTTCATTATGGGAATGGTACTAGGGTATCAGATGTATGCGGCTTAGGTAAGAGAGAGACCATCGCCTACTTTGTTTTTCATTATGGGAGTGGTACTAGGGCCAGTGGGCTAAGTTTTTGTTTCCTAGAAGTTTTATTTGATCATTCTTTATGAAATTTTATGAAAAAAAAAATGATATCCTGATGAACTGAACCCATAAGCATTCAAATTTTACTTGACCTTGAATTTATGTAAATATCTCTAGGATTTCTTGTTTTTAATTTTTTGAGTTTTTCCTTAGCCTGGTTTAAAATTGCCACATACCGCTTTTAGAAGCCACTAGTTACTATTGAAAAG